TTACGTTTTATTTTATTTTATTTCATTTTATTTTATTTTTGAGACAGTCTCGCTCTGTTGCCCAGGCTAGAATGCAGTGGCATGATCTTGGCTCACTGCAGTTTTGACCTCCTGGGTTCAAGTGATTCTCCCAAGTAGCTGGGATTACAGGTGTGTTGCTCCATGCCCAGCTATTATTTATTTATTTATATATTTTTTTACTTATTGTAGAGACAGGATCTCACTATGTTGCCCAGTTGGTCTCAAACTCCTGGCCTCAAGCAGTCCTCCCACCTTGACCTCCCATAGTGCTATGATTACAGGCACGTGCCACCACGCCTGGCTGAAGGCTGCTTTAGATAGATTAGGAAGGAAGCCTGAAGCCTTTCTGAGGAGGAGACATCTGAACTGAATGCCAAAAAGAAATCAGTCATTCAAAGATCTTGGAAAGACGTTCCAGGGAAAGGGACTAGCAAGTGTAAAGGCTGTGAGATGGCTTTATGTTTGGTGAATCTGAGGAACAGAAAAAGGCCCGTATAGGCAGAATGTAGTAGTTAAGTGTCAAACAAGTTTTCTATTTCAAGGAGTTTAGATTTTATCCAAAGAGCAAGGGGAAGACTTCGAAGTGTTTTCAGCTGAGAAGATAAAACTAATCAGATTTATAAGAAGATCACTGACTGATATTTGGAGAACGGTTTGGAGGGCAAGAGTGAATCACTTGAGTGAACGAAAGCTATAGTTAAAGAAAAAGATGGTTGTGAGTTGGACTAATGTGTAGTAGAGGAGGTGGGGAGAAGTGAAATTGTATTATGAATTAGAAGTAGAGTTGAGAAAACTTTCAGATAATTTCAAAGTAGGGGATAAACACGATCAAGATTTTGCCTTAAGCAATGCATTTACAGAGGAGAAGTTTGGAGAAGGGACAGGTTTGGGTTGGAGGGATACATTTAGACTTCCTTGTACAGGATTGAGGTTGGGCCCATTGACTCATGCTTGTGATCTCAGGCTGAGGTGAGAGGATCACTTAAGGCCAGGAGTTCAAGACCAACCTGGGTAGCATAGTGAGAATCGCCCCCAACTCCAAGTAAATTTTTTTTTTTTTTTTTTGGAGACAGAATCTCGCTCTGTCATCCAGGCTAGAGTGCAATGGTACGATCTCATCTCACTGCAACTTCCGCCTCCCAGGTTCAAGCGATTCTCCTGCCTCAGCCTCCCGAGTAGCTGGGAATCCCGGCTGATTTTTTGTATTTTTAGTAGAGACAGGGTTTCACCATGTTGGCCAGGCTGGTATCGAACTCCTGACCTCAACTGATCCTCCTGCGTCAGCCTCCCAAAGTGCTGGGATTACAGGCCTGAGCCACCGCATCCGGCCTAATTTTTTGTATTTTTAGTAGAGACAGGGTTTTGCCATGTTGGTCAGGCTGGTCTTAAACTCCTGACCTCAGGTGATCCACCCACCTTGGCCTCCCAAAGTGCTGGGATTACAGGCGTGAGCCACCACACCCAGCCTAAAAAATTTTTTTAATTACAAAAAAGAAGAGATTGAAATATTATTGGATGTCCAAGTCAAGTATCAGATAGGCACTTGGACATGCAAGGCTAGGGTTCAGGGAGAGGTCAGGACCAGAGATATACATTTGGAAGTGATCTGCATATAGGTGGAATTGAAAGCCATGGAATGGATGATCATTCTGGGAGAGGGTATAGATAGAGAAGAGGAGGGAGCTTAGGACTTAATTAATTCATTGATTGATTTAAGACAGGTTCTCACTTTGTTGCCCAGCCTGGAGTGCAGTGGTACGTTAATGTCTCACTATAGCTTTGATCTCCCAGGGTCAAGCAATCCTTCCACCTTAGCCCTCCCTAGTAGCTGGGACTACAGGTGTACACTACCACACCTGGGTAATTTTGTATTTTTTGTAGAGACAGAGTTTTGCCAAGTTGCCCAGGCTGATCTCACTGATCTCAAACTCCTGGACTCAAGCAATCCATCCACCTCAGTCTCCCAAAGTTCTGGGATTACAGGTGTAAGCCACCACGCCTGGCCTGACTTCCAACATTTAAAGGGGTTAGGCCAACAAAGAGGAGCTGTCAATAGAGGAGAAAAAGATAGAGTGGCTAGTGTTATAAAAGCCAGGAGAAGAAAATATATAAGAAGGAGGGAGTGGTTAACTGTGTCAAACACTACTTAAAGGCCAAGTCAGATGAATATAAATGGATAGATTTGCTGTGGAAGGTGTTGGTGATCTTGACACGTGCAATTTCTGTAGAGTGGAGAGAATAGAAACCAACTAAGATGTTCAGTAAGGAAGGTGAGGGATGATAAGAGGCAACTGGGCAGTAGTAATAGGGATATAAAGAAATGTGCAGACATTAGAACAATTCTGGTGAGATAAGGTATATGGGGAGTGAAGAAAGTAATAATAGAGTTGTTTGTTTGTTTGTTTGTTTGTTTTTAAGCAGAGCCTTGCTCTGTCACTCAAGATGGAGTGCAATGGTGTGATCTCGGCTCACTGCAACCTCTGCCTCCCAGGTTCAAGCGATTCTCCTGCCTTAGCCTCCCAAGTAGCTGGGATTACAGGCGCCCACCACCATGCTTGGCTAATTTTTGTATTTTTAGTAGAGATGGGGTTTCACCATCTTGGCCAGGCTTGTCTCAAACTCCTGACCTCAGGTGATCCAACTGCCTCGGCCTCCCAAAGTGCTAGGATTACAGACGTGAGCCACCCACCGCACCCGGCTGATCATAGAGTTTTTACGGGTGATAAGGAGGATAGTGGCACCACCAAGAATGGAAAGGGGGTATATAGGAAGGAAAATAATGATTTTTCAGATTGAGAAAAATTGATTAAAAAAATATATATACATATTGGCCAGGCGCAATGGCTCACGCCTGTAATCCCAGCACTTTGGGAGGCTGAGGAGGGCGAATCACCTGAGGTCAGGAGTTCGAGACCAGCCTGACCAACATGAAGAAACCCTGTCTCTACTAAAAATACAAAATTAGCTGATGCAGCTACTCGGGAGGCTGAGGCAGGAGAATCGCTTGAACCCGAGAGGTGGAGGTTGCAATGAGCTGAGACTGCACCATTGCGCTCCAGCCTGGGCAACAAGAACAAAGCTCCATCTTAAAAAAAAAAACAAAGGCCGAGCATGATGGCTCATGCCTGTAATCCTAGCACTTTGGGAGGCCGAGGCAGGCAGATCACAAGGTCAGGAGATCGAGACCACCCTGGCTAACACAGTGAAACCCCATCTCTACTAAAAATACAAAAAATTAGGCGGGCATAGTGGAGGGTGCCTGTAGTCCCAGCTACTCAGGAGGCTGAGGCAGGAAAATGGCGTGAACCCAGGAGGCGGAGCTTGCAGTGAGCTGAGATCATGCCACTGCACTCTAGCCTGGGCGACAGAGCGAGACTCTGTCTCAAAAAAATATATATATAATATATATATATTATATATATATTATATATGTGTGTGTGCTTGTGTTTGTATATATGTATGCACACATATATACATATACACACATACATATATACATACACACACATATATATTTATAAGATGGGGTCTTGCCATGTTGCCCAGGCTGGTCTTGAACTCCTTGGCTCATGGAATCCTCCTACCTCGGTCTCCCAAGTAGCTGGGATTACAGGCATGCACTACTACACCTAGATCTAGGACCAATTGATTTTAAATGTGCTGTCAGGACATTCATGTGACATAAGTAAGTAGTTAGAAATCTAGGCCTTGAAGCTTGGTGATTTCCAAATCTATATGTCCAGTCCAAATATGCAAAATGGTCTGGTCTGGGCATACAGTTTTGGGAATCACCAACATAAAAATTGTGTTGCTTGGCTGGGCGTGGTGGCTCATGCCTGTAATCCCAGCACTTTCAGAGGCCAAGGCGGGTCGATTATGAGGTCAGGAGTTCAAGACCAGCCTGAGATCACATGACTGCACTCCAGCCTAGGCGACAGAGTGAGACTCCATCTAAAAAAAAAAAAAAATTGTGTTGCTTGACCATGAGTCTAATTAAGAGCTACCTTAATGTGAACTGGAAGGAAATGGAAGTCCAAGACAGACCTTGGAAAACTCTGATATTGAAGGGATGGTCAGAGAAAGAAAAGCCAGCAAAGAAAACCAGGGAAGAATTATAACAGAGTTGTGTCATGGAAGCCAAGAGAGAAAAGATTTTCAGGAAGGAAAGGATTGTCAACAGTGCTGTCTTAGTCCATTTTGTGCTGGTATAACAGAATACCACAGACTAGGTCATTTATAATGAGCAGAAATGTATTAACTCATCATTATGGTGGCTGGGAAGTCCAAGATCAAGGGGCTGGCATCTGGTGAGGGCCTTCTTGCTTCTCACTGTGTTATTCCATGGCAGAAGGGCAAAGAGAGGGTGGGGCTGAGGAGAATTAAACTTATCCTTTTATAAGAAACCCATTCCCAAGATAAGGGCATTAATCCATTCATGAAGGTGGTGTTCCCATGACCCAAACACCTCCCATTAGGCCCCACTTCCCAACACCACTGCATTGGGGATCCAGTTTCCAGCACACGAAATTTGGAGGAAATGTTTAAACTGTAGCAAATGCCAAGTGCTATAGACAGCTCAAGAATGCTGAGTAGGCCGGGCGCGGTGGCTCAAGCCTGTAATCCCAGCACTTTGGGAGGCCGAGACGGGCGGATCACGAGGTCGGGAGATCGAGACCATCCTGGTTAACACGGTGAAACCCCGTCTCTACTAAAAAATACAAAAAACTAGCCGGGCGAGGTGGCAGGCGCCTGTAGTCCCAGCTACTCGGGAGGCTGAGGCAGGAGAATGGCGTGAACCCGGGAGGCGGAGCTTGCAGTGAGCTGAGATCCGGCCACTGCACTCCAGCCTGGGTGACAGCGCGAGACTCCGTCTCAAAAAAAAAAAAAAAAAAAAAAAAAAAGAATGTTGAGTATAGAGAAATAGTTGGTAGAAGTGACACTCAGAAGGCCGCAATGACTGGCGCTTCTTATGTCCACAGGCCTCTCCACCATCAACAAGACTCGTCTTGATTTTCACTTCTCCTCTGATAGAACTGCTGGTGACAGGGAGGTCCAGCAGGCTAGTCTCATGTTCTTTGTGCAGCTCCCTTCCAATACCACTTGGACCTTGAAAGTGAGGGTCCTTGTGCTGGGTCCACATAATACCAACCTCACCTTGGCTACTCAGTACCTGCTAGAGGTGGATGCCAGTGGCTGGCATCAACTCCTCCTGGGGCCTGAAGCTCAAGCTGCCTATAGCCAGGGGCACCTGACCCTGGAGCTGGTACCTGAAGGCCAGGTAGCCCAGAGCTCAGTCATCCTGGGTGGAGCTGCCCATAGGCCTTTTGTGGCAGCCCGGGTGAGAGTTGGGGGCAAACACCGGATTCATCGACGAGGCATCGACTGCCAAGAAGGGTCCAGGATGTGCTGTCGACAAGAGTTTTTTGTGGACTTCCGTGAGATTGGCTGGCACGACTGGATCATCCAGCCTGAGGGCTACGCCATGAACTTCTGCATAGGGCAGTGCCCACTACATGTAGCCGGCATGCCTGGAATTGCGGCCTCCTTTCACACTGCAGTGCTCAATCTTCTTAAGGCCAACACAGCTGCAGGCACCACTGGAGGGGGCTCATGCTGTGTACCCACAGCCCGGCGCCCCCTGTCTCTGCTCTACTATGACAGGGACAGCAACATTGTCAAGACTGACATACCTGACATGGTAGTAGAGGCCTGCGGGTGCAGTTAGTCTATGTGTAGTATGGGCAGCCCAAGGGGGTGTGGGAAAACACTCCCCCACAGAAGTGCACTTCCTTGAGAGGAGGGAATGACCTCATTCTCTGTCCAGAATGTGGACTCCCTCTTCCTGAGCATCTTATGGAAATTACCCCACCTTTGACTTGAAGAAACCTTCATCTAAAAAGAGTCACTGTACCATCTTCCTGACCACTACCCTCTTTCCTAGGGCATGGTCCATCCCGCTAGCCTCACGTGCTTAACCCCGACTCCAGGGACTCAGACCCATCTCCAACGATGAGCAAGGCCATATGGTTCCCAGGCAAAGACACCCTTATCTCACCTTTAATTGACCCCATAACCCACTATGCCTTCCTGTCCTTTCCACTCGATGGTCCCCACTCCAAGATGAGTTGACACAGCCCCTTTCCCCGATTTTTGTGGATCTCCAGAGAGCCCCTTCTTTGGATTCACCAAAGTTTAGATCACTGCTGCCCAAAATAGAGGCTTACGTACCCTCCTCTTTGTTGTGAGCCCCTTTCCTTCTTTCTTGTCCAGGTGAACTGCTAAAGGTCTCTTTGCGTACCCTCATCCATTTTTTGTCCTTCTCTGCCTTTCTCTGTGCCCTTAAGGGCTGACTTGCCTGAGCTCAATCACCTGAGCTCCCCTGCCCTCTGGCTTCCTGCTGAGGTCAGGGCATTTCTTATCCCTGCTCCCTCTCTGCATAGGTGCCATGGTTCTCTGTAACTGTGGCTATTCTGTGTCCCTACACTAGTAGCCTGGCTACCCACTTCCATGGCCCCAACTCTGCCCACATTCTGCTATCACTGTTTCAACACTAGGGGGTCCTAAAGGCTTTCTATCTTGCTAGTCCCTGGGCCCTCAACATCTCTTACTGGTTCCCTTAACTCTGCCTATACCTCTGTAAATAATTCCTTCACTAAGTTCTCTTGATGAAGCAAAACCAGACAGCTGAATGGTCCTCTATCTCCTACAAGGGCCCTAACTGGCACCCCAGATGACACAGAACCTGCCTGCCTATGCTGTAGTCTGCCTACTCTGCTCTCTCTTCACATGGTCTCCTCAGGACTGAGCTATTGTATCCATCTCACACTTTATGCCTTTTCTTTCTTAGGCACCGACACTTAGTCACCCAGTAAACTGACCAGCTGTGGGCACGCAAGTGTGGGAGGCAGAGGCACGCTCAGAGCTGCCCGTCAGGACCTCTGACTTGCCTTTCTTTCACCCGCCCCCAGTGCTCCACCCAGGAATCCTGCCTGGAATCTGGAATAGGCAAGGGCTGCTGGAGTGGGACAGGGAGAAGAGGAAGGCCTGGATGAGGAGAGGGTGGCATTTGCTCTGAGACTGGGTCTTTTTTAGACCTTTGCCCTTCCTCCCCCACATCTCCTCCCTTTGGCTGGAGAGTCCTGAACCACGAGGTCGATATTGTCTGCAACCCAAGGCCGAGTTTGCGCAAAACCCATGTGTTCTTTGGTAAATGTGATGTCTGTGTTTGCTCAGCTTATAACCCCCTCCTATGAGGGTAAGAGGTCCCTGAAATAGGAACCCTAGAGGAGAAAGTCTGAAAAGGACTGCCTGGGGGACTGTAAATCTGAGCTCAAGGGCTTCCTGAGCAACCCATGGATGTTATTCCACCTTTGACTTCAGGAGACCTTCACCTAAAGAGAATCTAAGGAGGCCTTCTGGTGTCTCCCCCACACACCCCCGGCCCCCAGATCTAACCTCCTTCCCAACTACAGCTTAGTTCCCAGGGCCAAGACTGGGATAAGGCAAAGTGAGTCATTCACCTGGCGGGGGTGCTAAATTTTAAGGGGCTGGTGAAAAATTTATTAATCAAGATAGGACTTTAATGCAATTTTTTAAAAGTCAAAATTAATGCAAAAAATCCATGATGAACAAAATAGCCTCCTTTTTTTTTTTTTTTTTTTATGCGACGGAGTCTCACTCTGTCACCCAGGTTGGAGTGCAGTGGCGCAATCTCGGCTCACTGAAAGCTCCGCCTCCCGGGTTGACGCCATTCTCCTGCCTCAGCCTCCCGAGTAGCTGGGACTACAGGTGCCCGTCACCACGCCTGGCTAATTTTTTTGTGTTTTTAGTAGAGATGGGATTTCACCGCATTAGCCAGGATGGTCTCAATCTCCTGACCTCATGATTCGCCCGTCTCGGCCTCCCAAAGTGCTGGGATTACAGGTGTGAGCCACCCACTGCGCCCAAAATAGCCTACTTTTAAATAAAAACAGGATCATTATTCCCTTTCTGTTTTGGCTCTGCCTTTTGTAAAAAGGGGAAAGAGTGGGTCTGCCTCCTTCAAACATTTTCTCCTAGAGCTTCCTAGCTCCTACCTCTGGACTCCTTCAGGCTCTTCTCATTTGAGCAAGATAACCACTCCCGTTTTGCTTATTCTACTTCCTTACCCACCCCCAAGCCTGTCTTCTACTTCCTTACTCACCCCCAAGCCTATCGCTATCCCCCAGCCCCCAACCAGGTTGGTGGTAGGGCAGGCAGTGAGGCAGATGGCTGGGGTATTTATAACCCAGGAGCACTTCTTGGGAAAAGTGACTAAGATGCTAAGAGCGTATTTATAGCTGAGCTCTGACGTAAGTGTCAGTGGGGAGGTAGGGCCAAGCCAGGCGCAGCAGCAAGGAGGTGGGAAGAGCTGGAAATTGGGGGCACTTGACAGTGAGGGTGGGGAGAGATGGGGTCAGTGACTCCTGCAGCCACTTCTTGTCACTTCCCCGACTGCCTACTGATACCAACAGGTAAGCTTTCTGAGGCACCACCATGGATAGATACCTCCGCTTTGCCCACCCGATGTTCCAGACCAGAGGGGGTAGAGGGCTGTCATTTACCAGCCCGACCAACAGAATGGGAGTTGGGAGCTGAGGAGAACACTGGACAGAGTTCTTGAATGTGTTTCAGAACGTGGGGAGAAATGAAGGGTGGACAGGAGGATCTAAGTGTCTCAGTGCGCCCCCACCCCACTCTACCCCCACCAAATAGTGCCCTGAGGTTCTAGGAAAAGCCTGGTACATCACCAAGCTCCATTGACACGTGTTTGTGTGAGGAAGTCCAAAACCAAAGGTAGCAGTGATGTGGATCCTGGAGACAGTCTCTCTTCTCTGGCAGTGTGATGGGGAAAGAACAGAGGAACCAGCTTGTCCCTGTCTCTTGTGGGTGAGGCAGGGTCCCCAGAGGGAGAGGTCAAGGAGCACTCTTCATTGCTGCATTTCCCAGAGCTGCCCCTTCCCTGTCCCTGGGAAGCTCCAGCCAGCTACAAGCCAGCTGCTGTCCAGAGGCACGGCACTGCCACATGGTGGACACTGGTGGTACTGGGGCCCAGCCCTCCAAGTAGGACCCCAGTTCCCCAGATCTAATAGTCTCTCTTGACAGCCCCCATCATCTAAATAGAGGGGAGATGAACAAAGTGGAGTAAGGACGCATTTCCAAATCACACCCACTTCCCCCACAGCTTTCTCCCTGTCAAGCTTCTTGGAGAAACTAAGGAGAAAAGCTAGCATGAGGCCCACCCTCATGAATTCAAGGTGGAGGGGTCTGGGTTCCCCCATTTAAAGCCAGTGAGGACTGGGTGCAGTGGCTCATGTCTATAATCCTAGCACCTTGGGAGGTTGAGGTGAGAGGATCGTTGAGACCACCCTGGGCAATACAACAAGACCCTGTCTCTACAAAAGAATAAAAAATAAATTAGCCTGGCGTGGTGGCACGCACTTGTAGACTTAGCTACTCTGGAGGCTGAGGTGGAAGAATCACTTAACCCGGGAGGTCGAGGCTGCAGTGAGCCAGGCCACCACACTCCAGCCTGGATGACAAAGTGAGACCCTGTCTCAAAAATAAAAAAACTAAAATAAAAAATAAAGCCAGTGAGGAAATGTGGTCAGGAGGGCTGAGACTGGGAACCAAGACTGCTGTACTTGCCTTGCTTTGTTGTCAATAGCTCTTAAAGCTCCATTTTCTACCCCCATTAATAGGCCTGAAGGGTGGTGCAGTGGCTCACGCCTATAACCTCAGCACTTTAGGAGGCTAAGGCAAGTGGATTGCTTGGGCCCAGGAGTTCAAGACCAGCCTGGGCAACATAGCGAGACCCCATCTCTATGAAAAATTTAAAAATTATTCAGGTGTGGTGGTGTGCACCTGAAGTCCCAGCTACTAAGGAGGCTGAGGCAGAAGGATTGCCTGAGCCCAGGAGTTCAAGGCTGCAGTGAGCAATGATTGTGCCACTGTACTCCAGCCTGGACAACAGATTGAGACCTTACCTAAATAAAATAAAATAAAATTTAAATTTCAAAAAGTTAAGAAAAAAAAGACCTGGCACTACTTCTAGGATGCCCCAAATTTAGGCAACTCTCACAGTCACTTGAAAGAGAAGTGGCAGCTGGGTATATGCCCTCCCAAGTGTCATGCCCCTTGACAGTCCTGATGGACCCTGCCCTGTGCAAGATTGCATCACCACCACCACCACCTCTCTGGGCTTCCCCAGACATCACAGGAACACATTCCCCACCCCAACCCCCCCGCTCTGGCCCTCCTCCACATCATGCTGCAGGCCAACTGGACTCTGGGCGGCCAGCACAGGCAGGGTCAGGGGGTGACTTCTGTGCCTCGTGGCACTGCCATCTGGGCCTGAGCAAGAGGATTCCATTCTCCGACCCACCCAACCCCTCACCCCTGTCCCAACATCAATGCTAGAAATAAAGAGACCAGAATTTTCCTTCTGGCCTAAGGGCCCCAGAGAAATACCCACTGGAGCTCACAGCTGCCTCATGGAAACTGCTACAGCAGTGGTGAAGCTAGAAAGACTAGAGGTATGAGGGAAAATTGCCCTTCCCCACCTGGCTCATAAGGCGTTCCCTCCCCCGAGTTCCAGACCTTGGGGACTGAGCATGTGAAATCATCCTCTTTCTTGCATCATGCGTGTCCACATTGCACCCCCCCACCCCCATACCCCTACTTCAGGCCCAGTCACCATGGCCAGATGGTGAAACCTGAGCTGGTGGGGAGGAGGACCTCCACCCCCTGCAGGGGCCTGATGGGCAGCACAGCTGGCCAATCCTGGGACTCAGAGGGTAGGTCGGCTGGCTGACCACTAGGTTTGGAAGCCCCAGGCAGCTGGCTCTAAAGAGGCCCCAGGTCAGTAGCCAGACATGAGCTGTGAGGGTCAAGCACAGCTATCCATCAGATGATCTACTTTCAGCCTTCCTGAGTCCCAGGCAATAGAAGACAGGTGGCTCTACCCTTGGCCAAGGGTGGGTGTGGCAGTGGTGTCTGCTGTCACTGTGCCTTCATTGGCCCCCAGCAATCAGACTCAACAGACGGAGCAACTGCCATCTGAGGCTCCCGAACCAGGGCCATTCACCAGGAGCATGGGGCTCCCTGTTGTCCAGCTCTGGCTGGTGCTGCTGTGGACACTGGTGCGAGCACAGGGGACAGGGTCTGTGTGTCCCTCCTGTGGGGACTCCAAACTGGCACCCCAAGCAGAACGAGCTCTGGTGCTGGAGCTAGCCAAGCAGCAAATCCTGGAGGGGTTGCATCTGACCAGTCGTCCCAGAATAACTCATCCTCCACCCCAGGCAGCGCTGACCAGAGCCCTCCGGAGACTACAGCCGGGGAGTGTGGCTCCAGGGAATGGGGAGGAGGTCATCAGCTTTGCTACTGTCACAGGTGGGTGATGGAGAGAGCAACAGGCAGAGAGCAGACAGGTAAAGGGAGGCAGAAGGGGAGCCTGGCAGGAGCACCAGAGGGAGTGGGGTGTGGCAGGAGAAGGAGGAGGTGGGGCAGGGACTGGTTGCAGAGGACACAAAGCAATCTCTACTTTTCTAAAGGTGGGTTCGAGGGAGATCAGTGGGCAGGGCTCGGGGAGTCTCAGAGGAGAGCTTCATCTCTGCTCACATGTTCTTTCCCTTCTCTGTCTTTCGGGCAGACTCCACTTCAGCCTACAGCTCCCTGCTTACCTTTCACCTGTCCACTCCTCGGTTCCATCACCTGTACCATGCCCGCCTGTGGCTGCACATGCTCCCCACCCTTCCTGGCACTCTTTGCTTGAGGATCTTCCGATGGGGACCAAGGAGGAGGCACCAAAGGTCCCGCACCCTTTTGGCTGAGCACCACATCACCAACCTGGGCTGGCATGCCTTAACTCTGCCCTCTAGTGGCTTGAGGGGTGAGAAGTCTGGTGTCCTGAAACTGCAACTAGACTGCAGACCCCTAGAAGGCAACAACAGCACAGTTACTGGACAACCAAGGCGGCTCCTGGACACAGCAGGACACCAGCAGCCCTTCCTAGAGCTTAAGATCCGAGCCAATGAGCCTGGAGCAGGTCGGGCCAGGAGGAGGACCCCCACCTGTGAGCCTGCAACCCCCTTATGTTGCAGGCGAGATCATTACGTAGACTTCCAGGAACTGGGATGGCAAGACTGGATACTGCAGCCCGAGGGGTACCAGCTGAATTACTGCAGTGGGCAGTGCCCTCCCCACCTGGCTGGCAGCCCAGGCATTGCTGCCTCTTTCCATTCTGCCGTCTTCAGCCTCCTCAAAGCCAACAATCCTTGGCCTGCCAGTACCTCCTGCTGTGTCCCTACTGCCCGAAGGCCCCTTTCTCTCCTCTACCTGGATCATAATGGCAATGTGGTCAAGACGGATGTGCCAGATATGGTGGTGGAGGCCTGTGGCTGCAGCTAGCAAGAGGACCTGGGGCTTTGGAGTGAAGAGACCAAGATGAAGTTTCCCAGGCACAGGGCATCTGCGGCTGGAGGCATCAGATTCCTGATCCACACCCCAACCCAACAACCACCTGGCAATATGACTCACTTGACCCCTATGGAACCCAAATGGGCACTTTCTTGTCTGAGACTCTGGCTTGTTCCAGGTTGGCTGATGTGTTGGCAGATGGGTAAAGCATTTGTTCTAAAGGGGTCTACTCAGAAAGCATGATTTTCCTGCCCTAAGTCCTGTAAGATGTCAGGGACTAGGGAGGGAGGGAGGGAAGGCAGAGAAAAATTAGCCTCTCCCAAGATGAGAAAGTCCTTAAGTGAGGGGAGGAGGAAGCAGATAGATGGTCCAGCAGGCTTGAAGCAGGGTAAGCAGGCTGGCCCAAGGTAAGGCCTGTTGAAGCGTCTTAAGGGAGGGTCAAGAGGGAGATGGGCAAGACGCTGAGGGAGGATGCTTAGAGGACCCCCAGAAACAGGAGTCAGGAAAGAGAGGTACTAAGCCTAAGAAGTTCCCTGGTTTTTCCCAGGGGACAGGACCCACTGGGAGACAAGCATTTATACTTTCTTTTTTCTTTTCTTTTTCCTTTCTTTTTTTTTTTTTTTTTTTTTTTTTTGAGACGGAGTCTCGCTCTGTTATCAGGCTAGAGTGCAGTGGCACGATCTCGGCTCACTGCAAACTCCGCCTCCCAGTTTCAAGTGATTCTCCTGCCTCAGCCTTCTGAGTAGCTGGGATTACAGGTGCCCACTAATTTTTGTATTCTTAGTAGAGACGAGGTTTCAACATGTTGGCCAGGATGGTCTCGATCTCTTGACCTCGTGATCCACCCGACTTAGCCTCCCAAAGTGCTGGGATTACAGGCGTGAGCCACCGCGCCTGGCTTATACTTTCTTAATAAAAAGGAGAAAGAAAATCAATAAATGTGACTCATAAAGAAGGGTTCAGGTGATGGTCCGGAGCAACAGTTCTCCAAGTGTGTTCTGTAGGCTTCTGGGAGGTCCCTCTTCAGGGGTGTCCACAAAGTCAAAACTATTTTCATAATAATACTAACATGTTATTTGCCTTTTGAATTCTCATTATCTTAAAATTGTACAGTGGAGTTTTCCAGAGGCTGTGTGACATGTGATTACATCATCTTTCTGACATCATTGTTAATGGAATGTGTGCTTGTATAGTCTTGTGTTAGTCTTTTTCAGTTTTAATTTCTAATGTAGTGAATGATTTTTTTTTTTTTTTTGAGACAGAGTCTCACTCTGTCACCCAGCTGGAGTGCAGTGGCGTGATCTCGGCTCACTGCGACCTCCACCTCCCAGGTTCAAGCGATTCTCCTGCCTCAGCCTCCCAAGTAGCTGGGACTACAGGTCTGCGCCACCACGCCCAGCTATTTTTTTGTATTTTTAGTAGAGACAGGGTTTCGCCATGTTGGCCAGGCTGGTCTCGGACTCCTGACCTGAGGTGATCTGCCTGCCTTGGCCTTCCAAAGTGCTGGAATTACAGGTCTGAGCCACCGTGACTGACCTAATGACTTTTAAGAGTATAGAGGAAACCAAAAAGTTTGAGACTCGCTGGTCTACAGAACTGGGTGGGGAGAAGAAAGTAACGTGTTCTAAGAGAGCTCCTCTTGCTGGGCACCAGTGGTCCCAGTTACTTGGGAGGCTAAGGTGGGAAGACCACTTAAACCCAGGAGTTCAAGGCTATGATCACACTTGTGAATAGCCTCTGCACTCCAGCCTGGGCAAATAGTGAGACCCCATCCCAAACAAAAATAAATGCATACATACCTACATACATAAATAGCTCCTCTGGAAGAAGGGGCTTGAGGCTGGGACAGGAGCATGTGGGGTGCCTTTTTTTCAGTGACCATTAGTCTGGTCTGATTAAGCTGGGTCTCTGACCCTCTGGGGATAACTAGTCTGGGTCAAAGTCCCTGACCTCCTCCTACCTTCACCTTTTCTTTTCCCCCTTGACTCTCAGACTGAACAGTTAACCCACTGACCTTCCAGACCCAAGGGGGTGGTTCTTGGAAGCAGAGCTAGAATGTGGGAGGTCTGCCTGTGAGGTTGAAAAAAAGGGGAGAGGGTGCTCCTTTTCTCTATCATGCTTTCTCCTCTTTCTCATAAAAATCAGAGACTGAAATGCTGCCCCTCCCCTATATCCAGTCACGATGGCAACGCAAATCTAAAGAGGCAGGGCACTTCCCTGTCAGGCAGTACCGCTGGGCATAGCAATCTCTGCCTCTCCGTTTCTCTGAGCTCACCTATCCACCTCCTGGGCTTCTAAATGGGCTTTAGTGAGGGGACCTGTTTGGGCTCCTCCTTCAGCTCCCCCAGCTCTTCTGCTTCGACTCCGAGCGGTTGTCATGTGTGAGAACGGCCAGCAGAGGGAGTAGAAAGCCTGGAAGAGCGGCTAGAGCCTGCAGTGGCGTGGTGCAGAGGGGGCCTCAGTCTCCAGAACTTCGAGACGCAGAGCCGGGGTTCCCCGGAAAGGGGCTTCAGTCCCAGTGCTCCTTGGTGACCTCATGAACACACACCCTGCATCCAGAGCCTCAGCCGCTGCTTCTTGCTTTTATGCTCCATAGACTCCTCACCTTCTGCCAGAGCCCCCAACCCCTCAACTTGATTTGCCCCAAACCCCAGCTCTGCCCCAGCAGCTCCAAGTTCCATCCAAAGGGTGAGGCCTGCCGATAAACCACAGGATGACAGAATGCTCAGTTAGCACCAACCAAAGGCGACTACCCCACCTCCACTATTATCGTTCTCAGTTGAACTCCCCTTGCCCTGCAATATTTTCCTCAATCTGGTTGTGGGAGCCTCTTTGGGACCAGCCGATCCAAAAATCCAAGCCGGGATTTACTACCTACCAACAGCAGCGTGTTCAGCGGGGGGGGGGGGGGGGGGGGTGGGGGGGGCGTAGGCAGTATAGGGTCCCTCAAGGGAGGGGGAGGATCCTGGGGGTCCTGGGGGTGCAATAAGCCCGGCACCCCCTCTCTTGCTTCCAGCTACCCCGCCTCATCCTCCAGAACAGCAAGAGGGAGGGAAATAGAAGGGAGGTGAGGGGCGAGCGGGAAGAGCGGCGGCGCGCCAGCGGCTGGAGCGAGAAAAAGTTTTTGCAAAAGGGAAAAAAAAAGTTTGCGCTTCTCGCGGGTGGTCCGGGCTTGCGGCCCGGCGGGCTGGGCCGGCGGGAGGGCTGGGGGCCAGGTTGGGGGGGGTGGGGGTGGCATCGAGGCTGCGCTGCCGTGGCCCTCTCCGCCCCCCCTCCCCACCGCACACCCCCCAGCCCAGACTCCAGCCCTGGACCGCGCATCCCGAGCCCAGCGCCCAGACAGAGGTGAGAAGGAGGGGCAGGCGGGGGACCACCTGGGAGCAGTGGGGGAGGGGGCCTGAGGGGATGCTCAGCTTCCTAGGGACTCATCCCAGACCCAGGACTTAGAGGCAAAATAGGGGTGGGAGAGTCTGGAGTGAGACATTAGAAACTCCAAATTTATCACTTGTATCTTTCTATAAATCTTCTTTTTCTTCCTTTTTTTCTTCTGTCAGTCTGTGTATCTCTGTCTCAGGGAACCGTGGGTCTTTGTCTCCGCCTCTCCTATATATTAGAAATATCTCACTTTCATGCGGTTGAGCTGAAGAGGCTGGAGGGATGGCTAGTTGGAGGTCTGCGTTGTAGAGAGGGAACTCCAGGTGTGTGTCTGCGCGTGGGGCAGGAAGACGTCAGTGTTCCTGAAAGGAGGGGACTGCAAAGGAGGGAGCTCCAGGTGGGGTGGGGACGGGTGTGTGGGAGGCAACAGAACTACTAGGGGCCAGCCAGGCTTGAATCCTTGACCTGTCTTGTGACAGATGTGCCAGTGGATGCTTGTGTTTTGGGGGAAAGGAGTGTCTTCTGGACTAGGAAGGGGTCTGGGAGTGGGGGCTGTCCAAGGTCTAGTGAAGGCCCTAGAATGACTCCAGGCAATTTTGGACTCCTGAGTCCCAAGGCCTGTGGGCAAGGCGTTCAGGAGGAGCCGGGGAGACCTTGTCTTGACCCTCTGACCTTAGGACCACCGGGGCAGCGGGAGCCAGCGGCAGGGAGACCCCTACCGGGGCTGGGCGGGACCACTGGCCACTGCCAGCCTGTGTATCCCCGTTGGCCCCCCGCCCAAACGGGAGCTGGGGATCGAGGCCCCTCCTCTGGCTCAGACCACCCTGCCTGCCCTTGCTCCCCGCTCTGAATCCTCTTTCAGGCCCCATGACCCCGAAACAATCAGCCCTGGGCAGCTAGCTTTCGGGACAGGATTAGGAAAAGGGGACCCCGTAGAGCCTGGGGACTGAGGGTTTTAGGGTTCTGGAGAGCTGGGGTCTTCTAGGATAGGTCTTTACGTTCCAGTAGAGGGAGAAGGCGGACGGTTTCCCGGGGGAGATGTAAGGGTCGGAATAAGGGTGGTTTTCCCTAGGGGGCGGGGTCCAGAGACCTCTCCCCCTCCACCATTATCTCCCTGGCATCCCCGCCCTTGACGTCACCAGGGGGTTCCCGGGGGTCTGGAGGGGTTAACCCTTGGGAAGCCAGTTGCGATAACCAGGAACCTAAGGTGTCCTGGCCACTCCTCCTCCCCATACACACCTAATTTTATTGACCCAGTCACTTTCTCTCCTTTCTCTCCCCCATACTTTCTGGATTCTTCTCCCTTTCTCACCTCATCAACGGGAACCCCCCACTCTCCAGTAGTGCCCCCCTGGGCGCCACTGCCTGCTTTCCGGATGCGCTGAGAGGAGGAGGGAAGAATGTGTCCCTCCCCTCAGCCCCCACCCCTACGGCTCGCTCGACTGGGCTCCCGGGGCGGGCGGGGGGAGCAGAGCCGTCTGCAGCCAGTGCCTGCGGCGGCGACTTGGGTGGGCCGAGGAGGCACGGGGGCGGGGAAGGCGGGACCGGGAGTAGGGGGGCGGAGCCGACTCCTGGGAGTTGGGGAGCGGGGGTGCGAGGGGGACGCTGGAAAACAGGGAGACACCGAAGATGGTTTGGGGCTCCGGCAGGGGAACCCTAGAGCTCCCTGTCCCATCCCGAACTCTCACACCCCAGAAAAACTTTACCGAAGCTAAAAAAGTTGGCAACACTTTCCTTTTACTAGTCTGAAGGGGAGATGTGGGTGGGCTGTGGCACGCGTGGGCGAGGAGGGATGTCGCCCCATTTCCTTGGAGGCTCTTCGGCGGCTGGGCAGTAAGATGACTGAGTAGGCAAGTTTGGGGGAGTCTCTAGTGTTTGGGGGATCATTTGCGAACTTGCCTCCTTCCCCTGGGTGAGTCATAGAGGGAAGGAGGCGGGAGAAGTGTCCCCCCATCCAGCTGCCAGCCAGCTGTGCCCCCCGCCCCCAACATTAGTGCCAAGGTCGAGTTGGGAGGTCTTGGATGCGGGATCCGCATCTCGGCTGGAAAAGGAGGAGTTAGGAAGGGTACAGCCCAGGCTGCCGGGCTCGGACTGGGTCGCGGGGTCCGGGTTCCGCTCCCCATCTCACCCCGCCCTCACCCTAAATCCCAGCATCCCGGGATCACCCACCGCGCCGGCCGGGCCGGCCCGCTCCCGGTGGTTCTCCACCCCACCCCGCCCCACCCCACCCTCATTCTCGGGAGACCGGAAAACCCGGGATGGAATCAAAACTGGAGTTTGAAGAGAAAAACGAACCGCAGCACCTTCTTCCTCGCTGCTCTTTTATAACGACGACATTGTTTTTTTCATTCTCTCAAGTCTCCCCTCATACTTCCTTTCCTGTTGCCCCAAAACAGAGACCAAAAAGATTAGTTGGACCCGATTTAAACTACCCCAGAATAACACCAGCTTTCACCTTTGTACTCAACAGACTCAGGAGACCCCTCAGGAACCTTACCTCCTCCTCCACACAGTTTTCTGCCTAAAAGAAGAGGGCAGATCGCTTGTGCTGCCTCCTGGCCCCACCTGCCTCTCTGTCGGGACTGTGGCTAGGGCTCCCTCTGCTGGACACTGCAGAGATTGTACACGGGCTGTCCCCCAAGACGGGTATGAGAAGGGGAAACAGGCTCAAGCAGAGCGGCCCAGTGCTTGAAGTCAGATTCATCACACGTATTCTTCCATCCCACCCCTCAAAGCCGGCCCAGGGTTAGAACAAGAAGAATTAGAGGGTCCATGTTACTAAAATAACTTGAAGTTAATATAGGCACAATCCAAAACATGCCCTCTCCACACAGACCACACAGGCAAAGCTCCCACCAGTTCCCAAGAAGATCCCCAGACTACACAGACTATAAGACTCCCTCTGCCTCTCTGGGACATTTCCCCTTACCCCTTGCCTGGCTGAGTGACGCTTTTTTTTTTTTTTTTTTTTTTTTTGAGACAGAGTCTCACTCTGTCACCCAGGCTGGAGTGCAGTGGTGCCATCTCAGCTCACTGCAACCTCTGTCTCCCGGTTCAAGCAATTCTCCTGCCTCAGCCTTCCGAGTAGATGGGATTACAGGCACCCACCATCATGTCTGGCTAACTTTTGTATTTTTGTAGAGACGGGGGTTTCACTATGTTGGTCAGGCTGGTCTTGAACTGACCTCAGGTGATTCGCCCACTTCAGTCTCTCAAAATGTTGGGATTACAGGCGTGAGCCACCGTGCCCGGCCCAGTGATGCTCTTTTCAACTCGATTTCCATGGCAGATGTTTTAGAGGGGCTGGGGACACCAGGGATGCTGTGCCCAGGATTCAGTGCCTGAGACTGCTGTCTGACCGTCTCTATTTGCCTCCACCTTCATAACTACCTTCCCTTTCTGCAGTGTCCCCACACCCTCCTCTGAGACGCCATGTTCAACTCGATGACCCCACCACCAGTCAGTAGCTATGGCGAGCCCTGCTGTCTCCGGCCCCTCCCCAGTCAGGGGGCCCCCAGTGTGGGGACAGAAGGTCAGTGTATATACCAATTCCTGGGCCTTGAGGATTTGGCAGATCTCCCACTTGGGCCCATCCCCGCCCCATGCCAGTTTCCTATCTACAAGATTTGAGGCCCCATGTCATATGGACCTGGAATCCTGGGATCAGGTCCTGCCTGGGGTTTTAAGGTGAGGCTTACATGTCCTCCATTCCCATTCCAGCTGTCTCTTTTTTCTAGGACTGTCTGGCCTGCCCTTCTGCCACCAAGCTAACCTCATGTCTGGCCCCCACAGTTATGGGCCAGCCAGAGAGACCAACAACTGCACCGAGGGTGAGGACTCAGGCAACACCTCTCCCCTTTCTGCCCCTCTCTGACTTGTCCTAAAAGAGAAAATGGGAGGGCAGGGGATCTCACTTGGAGGAGGAGATGTTTGGAGATGTGAGGTGTCAGAGCACCATCAAGAAATCACAGATGGGGCTGGGCGTGGTGGCTCACACCTGTAATCCCAACATTTTAGGGGGAGGCTGTGGCAGGAAGATCGCTTGAGGTCAGGAGTTCAAGACTAGCCAGGCCAACATGGTGAAACCCCATCTCTATTAACAATACAAAAATTAGCCGGGCGTGGTGGTGTGCACCTGTAATCCCAGTTACAGGGGAGGCTGAGGCAGGAGAATCACTTGAATCCGGGATGCGGAGGTTGCAGTGAGGCAAGATGGCACCACTGCCCTCCAGCCTGGGTGACAGAGTGTGACTCTCTCTCTCTGTCTCAAAAAAAAAAAAAAAAAGTCACAGATAGGATCAGTAGAGCAAAGCAGAATCAAGTCTCATTGGTTTTGCCAAGTCAGGACCTATAGGTTAGGTGTGTGGAGAGACATGCCCCTTTACCATATCCATCTCCCGTGTCTCCTGCCCCAGGCCCACTCTTTTCTTCTCCCCGGAGTGCAGTCAAGTTGACCAAGAAGCGGGCACTGTCCATTTCACCTCTGTCGGACGCCAGCCTGGACCTGCAGACGGTTATCCGCACTTCACCCAGCTCCCTCGTAGCTTTCATCAACTCGCGATGCACATCTCCAGGAGGCTCTTATGGCCATCTCTCCATCAGCACCATGAGGTGCAGTCAGCCCCGGGCCAAGAGGCCCCTAAAGCCCCTACCCAAGTCCATTAAAAGTCTCAAGCCCTCAAACCACCTGACCCTATTTGAATCCTTGTCATTTCAAGGGCAACTCTCCTCAGTACTTCCCTGGGACTGCCTCAACCACTTCAAATCCCAAGTCTTCCAGAAATCCTCCAAATAGCCCAATCCCTCCTGAGACTTCCAGATTGTCTTAAGTAACTTCCTTCTCTCCTCCTCAGCCCATCTCTGGGATTCCCAGCCCAGATGAATCACCAAAAAGGGCCCTCGCCTTCCTTTGGAGTCCAGCCTTGTGGTCCCCATGACTCTGCCCGGGGTGGGATGATCCCACACCCTCAGTCCCGGGGACCCCTCCCAACTTGCCAGGTGAGAGTCCCCATATTGCTACCTGATTTCCCTTAGCTCAGGGTGGGTGGGTGGTGGATTTTGTAGGGGAAAGGTGAAGGACAAGGGTTATAAGTTTTCAGTACTAGAAAAGTAAAGAGGTGTGGGTGCTGGGGTTCACTCCTTGCAGTTGAGTCAGACACTTCCAAATGGGATCTTTTGCCCATCCCATTCACCAGTGTAGTCTGAGGAGGAAGTCCCTTCCAAACCCAGGAGGTTCCAGCTGCTTGGGTGGGGGCACTTAGGGCAGGAAGACCTGGCTTGGTTTCCTCTTCCTTCTGCTGAGTTCCACCCTCATCACTGTCACCTCTTCCCCTGGGGAAGCTGAAGTCTGAGCTGGACATGCTGGTTGGCAAGTGCCGGGAGGAGCCCTTGGAAGGTGATATGTCCAGCCCCAACTCCACAGGCATACAGGTAAGGGGATGGGCGGGAGCTTTACCTCTAGGACCTGAGCAAAACTAAAGCTGTCACCCAAGTGACCCTAAGATTGCCTCTCTTGCCCTAGGATTCCCTGTTGGGAATGCTGGATGGGCGAGAGGACCTTGAGAGAGAGGAGAAGCATGAGCCTGAATCTGTGTATGAGACTGACTGCCGCTGGGATGGCTGCAGCCAGGAATTTGACTCCCAAGAGCAGCTGGTGCACGTGAGCCCCAGGGGGTAACAGGAATGGCTAACCGAAAACTTTAGGAGATTCTGAGTGGGACATGGTAGAATCTGGCTGAGGGCAGGAGGTCAGAGGAGACTGAGGTTGAATGCTCAGTTGGGTAGGCAGAAGCTGAGAAGTTGTAACTTTGCCTTAGGGAGCTGGAAGACCTGAGATGTGAGATATGATATTGTTCCTGCCTCTTCCTCCTTGAGTTGGAGTCGTGGAAGAGGAACAGGGAGTGGAGGGAAGGTCTGTTCTGGACCTTGGGGGGCATGGCGGAGCCTCGGAGAGCCTTTGTATCTTCTCCCTCAGCATATCAACAGCGAGCACATCCACGGGGAGCGGAAGGAGTTCGTGTGCCACTGGGGGGGCTGCTCCAGGGAGCTGAGGCCCTTCAAAGCCCAGTACATGCTGGTGGTGCACATGCGCAGACACACTGGCGAGAAGCCACACAAGTGCACGGTGAGGCACCAGGGTCCCAAGTCCAGGGTCTCTTCCTAAATCGGGGCTCTCCTTCAAGGTAGGGCCCAATGCAGACTTTTGCTTTTGTAAGTCCTTTCTTCCATAAACAAATATTAAAAATAATGTTTGTGTGACTGTGTTGGCATAAAGAATATAATGATATATATTAAAACACTCTTGGATGTAAAAGCTCATTTTTTTTCCACTTGATTTTAAAAGAAATTAAACAGGCCAGGCTGGGCGCAGTGGCTCACGCCTGTAATCCCAGCATTTTGGGAGGCCGAGGCGGGCAAATCACAAGGTCAGGAGTTGGAGACAAGCCTGGCCAACATGGCGAAACCCTGTCTCTACTAAAAATACAAAAAATTAGCTGGGCGTAGTGTCGGCCGCCTGTAATCCCAACTACTCGGGAGGCTGAGGCAGGAGAATAGCTTGAACCCAGGAGGCGGAGATTGCAGTGAGCCGAGATCATGCCACTGTACTCCAGCCTAGGCGACAGAGCGAGACTCTGTCTTAAAACAAACAAACAAAAAACAGGCCAGTAGCAGTGGCTCACACCTGTAATCCCAGCACTTTGGGAGGCTGAGCCGGGCAGATCACAAGGTCAGGAGTTCGACACCAGCCTGGCCAATATGGTGAAACACTTTCTCTACTAAAAATATAAAAATTAGCTGGGCGTGGTGGCGTGTGCCTGTAGTCCCAGCTACTCGGGAGGCTGAGGCAGAAGAATCACTTGAACCCGGGAGGCGGAGGTTGCAGTGAGCTGAGATGATGCCACTGTACTCCAGCCTGGGCGACAGAGCAAAACTCCGTCTCAAAAAAAAATTTTTTTTAAAAGACATTAAAACATGTTCGTGGGCCTCTTAAAGTATTGTCGGCCTTCAGTACTGTGCCTATTACTCTGCCTAATGGATAAACCCTGCATCAAGGACAACAGCCTGTTCCCCCAAGATGACCCCATCTTGGGACGGCATAAGATCCCTATGCAGGGAAATCTGCCCTGGCTTGGTCAGAAGATTGCTCTAGCATCTTTATATTCCCACAGGGAGAGTGCCTCCAACTGCTTCCCTTCCCCAAGTTCTTACCTGCCCTTGTCCCCTAGTTTTGGGAATTCTCTCAAAGCCCCAGTGCCTTTCATCTTGAGTTATATTCTCTGATGTGTGTCCTTTTGGAGACTGAGGATTCCTTCCATCTCCATGTCCTCTGTCTGAGAACTATCCTTTGACCCCCGCATGTCCCCCAGTTTGAAGGGTGCCGGAAGTCATACTCACGCCTCGAAAACCTGAAGACGCACCTGCGGTCACACACGGGTGAGAAGCCATACATGTGTGAGCATGAGGGCTGCAGTAAAGCCTTCAGCAATGCCAGTGACCGAGCCAAGCACCAGAATCGGACCCACTCCAATGAGGTGAATGCCCCAACTAAGAGACCTTCCCCTCTTGAGAAGCTACCTACCAGGGAGATTGCCCCATAAGAAATCCCTTAGCCCAGCACCCACTCCACAGAGGTGAGTCCCTCTCCCCACATAATTCGCCCAGAAAAGGCTTTTCTGAAACCCAGAATTTTCACTTAACCACTCCTCCTACCTCTAACCTCTAACCAGCCAAAGGGCTAACCTAAAATATGCCATCTAGAGGAGACCCCTGATCCCTCCATCCCCTGGATTTATGGGACCTCACAGCCCTGGGTTCACCTCCTTATCTTTCCCAGGCTGTCAGTTTTCCTAACCCTCCACTTAATCTCTGCATCTTTGACTCCCACCCGAGGCCTCCACCCTCGTTACTTCCTTTGGTGCTGTGTGCTCCTCCCCTGCCCCCCGTGTTGTCATCACTTTTTCCCATTTCTTCTGCATTCTTCCACTTTGATCCATTTGCCTCTGTCTCCACTCTGCACTCAACAGAAGCCGTATGTGTGTAAGCTCCCTGGCTGCACCAAACGCTATACAGATCCCAGCTCGCTGCGAAAACATGTCAAGACAGTGCATGGTCCTGACGCCCATGTGACCAAACGGCACCGTGGGGATGGCCCCCTGCCTCGGGCACCATCCATTTCTACAGTGGAGCCCAAGAGGGAGCGGGAAGGAGGTCCCATCAGGGAGGAGAACAGACTGACTGTGCCAGAGGGTGCCATGGTGAGAGAGCCCAGGCAACCCTCACTTCCATACCCCAGCCCACCCTGTGGACATCTTTCTAGTTACTTCCCAACCCATCCGTCCCCTCCTATAGAAATGACTCTTCTGTGACCAGTCTGCCTGTCTCTTGTCTTAGTGTTGCTCTTTGGGCTTCCCCAAATCTAGAGATTTTAGAATCTTTCTCTCTCTTTCTCTCTCTCTCCTTCCTTCCTTCCTTCCTTTCTCTCTCTCTCTCTTTCTCTCTTTCTTTCTGACAGGGTCTTGCTCTGTCACCCAGGCTGGAGTGTAGTGGCATAATCATAGCTCACTGCAGCCTCGAACTTCTGGGCTCGAGTGAGGCACTACAGGCACACACCATCATGCGTGGCTAATTTTTCTTCTTTTGTAGAGATGGAGTCTCGCTATGTTGACCAGGCTGGTCTCAAACTCCTGGCATCAAGCAATCCTCCCACCTCAGCTTCCCACAGTGCTGGGATGAGCCAATGCATCCAACCCAAACTCTTTCTTAAATAGCGCTTAGTATATGTTCCAAGCCTTTTACATGTATAGTTTCATGTACTCCTCACAGCAACTTCATGAGAAAGGGACTCACTCGTCCCATTTTCAGATGAAGAAACTCAGGCATAGAGAAATAGCCCAAGGTCATAGAACTAAGAGCAAGAATTTGAGTCCAGCCAGTCTGTGCTCCAGCCTAAGTTCTTCTCATCAAACGTCTCACATTCAGTTTGCTCCCCTATCTCTTACCTGCTTAGCCCTTTCTACACTTACAAACTTCCTTGGAACCCCAGCAGTCACTGGGACACAGGCTTCAGCCACTCATCAAGTTGAAGGAGCTGTGGGGAAGGGTGTTGCCCTCAGACCTCATCTTCTCCACAGAAGCCACAGCCAAGTCCTGGGGCCCAGTCATCCTGCAGCAGCGACCACTCCCCGGCAGGCAGTGCAGCCAATACAGACAGCGGTGTAGAAATGGCTGGCAATGCGGGGGGCAGCACTGAAGACCTCTCCAGCTTGGACGAGGGGCCTTGCATTGCTGGCACTGGTCTATCCACTCTTCGCCGCCTTGAGAACCTCAGGCTGGACCAGCTGCATCAACTACGGCCAATAGGGACCCGGGGTCTCAAACTGCCCAGCTTGTCCCACACTGGTGAGACCTGGGTGTGGGAGGTGTGGCTAAGGTGAGATCTGGACCTGCCCTGAGGTTGAGAGGAGGAAGTCACCCTTGAGGGCTGCCACATGGCACTTTTGTATAATTAGAAAAAGATCTCCTTCCTCAATACACTTTCCGTTTATCAGAAAATAGTTGTGATGTACAAATACACAAAGGCTAGCCAGACATGGTGGCGGGCACCTGTAATCCCAGCTACTCAGGAAGCTGAGGCAGGAGAATCACTTGAACCTGGGAGAAGGAGGTTGCAGTGAGCAGAGATTGCACCATTGCACTCCAGCTTGGGCAACAAGAGCAAAACTCCGTCTCAAACAAAACAAAACAAAACAAACAAGTATGCAAAGGCTATGATGCGAATGCTGTTCCCTAGGATTGTGCAGCATACAACCTGCACAACTGTTCATAGCAACCCTGAATCTTTGGTAACCCAGAAACAGAATAGACATGGAAGAAGTAGGAGACAGAACTGACTGGTTAGGGATAATGAGCTTATCCCTGGGAATCTAGGACAAGGCTGTTGCATGGAGGAGGCAGGGTGAGATTTAGAGACTCCTTGACCATCCTACCTTTTCTCCCCATCACTTGCAGGTACCCCTGTGTCCCGCCGCGTGGGCCCCCCAGTTTCTCTTGACCGCCGCAGCAGCAGCTCCAGCAGCATCAGCTCTGCCTATACTGTCAGCCGCCGCTCCTCCCTGGCCTCTCCTTTTCCCCCTGGCTCCCCACCAGAGAATGGAGCATCCTCCCTGCCTGGCCTTATGCCTGCTCAGCACTACCTGCTCCGGGCAAGATACGCTTCAGTCAGAGGGGGTGGTACTCCGCCCACTGCAGCATCCAGCCTGGATCGGATAGGAGGTCTTCCCATGCCTCCTTGGAGAAGCCGAGCCGAGTATCCAGGATACAACCCCAATGCAGGGGTCACCCGGAGGGCCAGTGACCCAGCCCGGGCTGCTGACCATCCTGCTCCAGCTAGAGTCCAGAGGTTCAAGAGCCTGGGCTGTGTCCATACAACACCCACTGTGGCAGGGGGAGGACAGAACTTCGATCCTTACCTCCCAACCTCTGTCTACTCACCACAGTCCCCCAGCATCACTGAGAATGCTGCCATGGATACTAGAGGGCTACAGGAAGAGCCAGAAGTTGGGACCTCCATAATGGGCAGTGGTCTGAACCCCTATATGGACTTCCCACCTGCTGATACTCTGGGATTTGGGGGACCTGAAGGGGCAGCAGCTGAGCCTTATGGAGCGAGGGGTCCAGGCTCTTTGCCTCTTGGGCCTGATCCACCCACCAACTATGGCCCCAACCCCTGTCCCCAGCAGGCCTCATATCATGACCCCACCCAAGAAACATGGGGTGAGTTCCCTTCCCACTCTGGGCTGTACCCAGGCCCCAAGGCTCTAGGTGGAGCCTACAGCCAGTGTCCTCGACTTGAACATTATGGACAAGTGCAAGTCAAGCCAGAACAGGGGTGCCCAGTAGGGTCTGACTCCACAGGACTGGCACCCTGTCTCAATGCCCACACCAGTGAGGGGCCCCCACATCCACAGCCTCTCTTTTCCCATTACCCCCAGCCCCCTCCTCCCCAGTATCTCCAGTCAGGCCCCTATACCCAGCCACCCCCTGATTATCTTCCTTCAGAACCCAGGCCTTGCCTGGACTTTGATTCCCCCGCCCATTCCACAGGGCAGCTCAAGGCTCAGCTTGTGTGTAATTATGTTCAGTCTCAACAGGAGCTGCTGTGGGAGGGTGGGGGCAGGGAAGATGCCTCAGCCCAGGAACCTTCCTACCAGAGTCCCAAGTTTCTGGGGGGTTCCCAGGTTAGCCCAAGCCCTGCTAAAGCTCCAGTGACCACATACGGACCTGGCTTTGGACCCAACTTGCCCAATCACAAGTCAGGCTCCTATCCCACCCCTTCACCATGCCATGAAAATTTTGTAGTGGGGGCAAACAGGGCTTCCCATAGGGCAGCAGCACCACCTCGACTTCTGCCCCCATTGCCCACTTGCTATGGGCCCCTCAAAGTGGGAGGCACAAACCCCAGCTGTGGCCATCCTGAGGTGGGCAGGTTAGGAGGGGGTCCTGCCTTGTACCCTCCTCCCGAAGGACAGGTATGTAACCCTCTGGACTCTCTTGATCTTGACAACACTCAGCTGGACTTTGTGGCTATTCTGGATGAGGCCCAGGGGCTGAGTCCTCCTCCTTCCCATGATCAGGGGGGCAGCTCTGGACATACCCCACCTCCCTCTGGGCCCCCCAACATGGCTGTGGGCAATATGAGTGTCTTACTGAGATCCTTGCCTGGGGAAACACAATTCCTCAACTCTAGTGCCTAAAGAGTAGGGAATCTCATCCGTCCCAGATTGCATTTCCTAAGGGGTCTCTATCCTTCCAGAAAAATTGGGGCAGCTGCAGTCCCCTGCACAAGATGCCCCAGGGATGGGAGGTATGGGCTGGGGGCTGTGTATAGTCTGTATATGTTTTGAGGAGAAATTTGATAATGACACTGTTTCCTGATAATAAAGGAACTGCATCAGAAAAAAAAAAACAAAAACATGCCACTTTATGTGTTATTATGTTGGGGAGGAATGATAACAGGGAATAAGAAGAGAAGCAGGGGTTAATCCACTCACTTTCCTCTTTAGAGAAGCTCTCTCACCCATCCCAACCCCTCAAGTCACACTCATGAAGATGGAGATAGTCATTTGGGAGATTTAAAGGGATGTCCTCAAAACAGAACACCAGCCTCTCACCACCAGAGATGACTGGAAATAGGTTTTCTCTTCCTTCCCTGGGTCAGGGGAAGAGGCTGGTGAAGTTGGTGAGCATCAGCTGGACCAGCTGCCCCGGGTAGAGAGCATGGGCTGCTGGGTCAGATGTCTCCTGCTCTGGCCGAAACAGGGTTGGTCCAAACACAATTCCCAGGTTGTGGGGAGTCATGCGATTCTTATCTGAGTGTGCTATCACCCTGTAGGCAAAGGCAAAGGAAGGGGATATATGGCAGCAGCTTGCCACTTCATAGCAATCTAACCCTTCAAAGGTCTGAGCAGGGAGGAGGCCACTCTGGGATTCCTCCACGTGGTGACAAAAAAAACAAAGAGACACAAGGGGAATGAAGATGGACCAGTGGAGAAACCTTCAGGATACAATCTGAAGATGCAACTGCCTCTTCTGGCTTTAGGGACTACTGTAAGAGTTCTATCTGCTCACGGTTTGGGAGTCTTTAATTCAAATGGCCATGCCCTCTCAGAAGTCACTGCCCAGGCCCAGTTCAACCAAGGAAGCCATCAGCAAGGTCCCAATGGGAGACAAAGAGGCAGAGGGAAGGGAGAGGCAAGATTTCCCTTATTTCTTTCACAGCATCTTGGTTCCATTTCCCCACTTGATGCTGACCTTTAAGTTTTGACCTAAAGGCTTTGATGGGCATGGTGGCTCACACCTGTAATCCCAGCACTTTGGGACGCTGAGGTGGGTAAATCACCTGCGGTCAGGAGTTTGAGACCAGCCTGGCCAACATGGTGAAACCCCGTCTCTACTAAAAATACAAAAATTAGCTGGGCGTGGTGGCAGGCGCCTGTAATCCCAGCTACTAGGGAGGCTGAGGCAGGAGAATCATTTGAACCCGGGAGACAGAGGTTGCAGTGAGCTAAAATTGCACCACTGCACTCCAGCCTGGGTGACAGAGCAAGACTCTGTCTCAAAAATAAAAAAAAATAATAATAATTAAAAAAAGGCTTTGACCCTGGTAATATGCTCCTGCACAGAGGTTGCCTGTTTCCTCACCTGCCCATTAAACTTGGGTGCTTCCCTACCTTCACTCCACCTGCACGGAGTCCCTGTGGCATTCCCCACTCCACCTTTCCCCAGCATGAACAAAGAGGTTCAGTCTTCCTGACCTGCATAAATGCTCCAGGAGGTACCGTAGAGTGTCACGGTTGGGCTTTGGCATTGAGCCTATTAATTCTTGTATCTGAGAGAGGCACTGCTCTGATTCGGAGAGTGCTAGAAAGAGAGAGTAATGGGAAAGGCATTTGAGTGAGGTTAGGGAAGGTGCTAGGACAGGGTGAATAAATTCACTGCTCTTTCCTACAGGCATGGAAGACATCACAAATCTAGTACAGCTTTCTTTTTCACGTAGCCCAACTATTACCTCATAATTCTTTTCAGTTCAGCCCTCTAAACATTCACAAAAAAGCACCTGGAGCAGGCACCTGAGTTGAATGTTATTTTCCATCTCTAAAGTCAGAATGGGAAAGAAGAGTATAAGGGAACCTCTATTCTATTATTTACCACCCGTGTCCCCCATATCAAGGGTTCTTTCCAAAGCTCCAATCCTTACCAAGGGCAGCGCGGAAATGGGGCAGCAGCAGTGGTGGCACCAGAGGCTGGGGCAGCTCCCGGAGAAAAAGCTTCAGGGCTCCGGTGACCACATGAATGTCATCCCACTCAGTACTGTCCAAATCTAACCGACCTTCTGGAGGGAGAAGGAGGTATAGGGGCTTCAGAGCTCATGAAGGGCCAGAAAGATCTAGAGACTGAGAGATTAGAAGTTCTGGAGAAATCCAGTCAAAGCAGACTATAGGAATGCCTAGAGGGTCTGCAGTGGGGCAAGGTAGCTAAGGTGGGGATGAGGACAACCCTCCCAGGAGTGGTACATGGAGGTATCCATGGGAAACAAAGAGGATATGTGGAAGTTTTAGGGATCTGAGGGGTCTTCCATGTAAGTACCTTGTCCTGGCTGTTCTGGGAACACATACCTCCCATCGGAGGTGACTGCACGCTCTGCAACATGAATGAGAAGAGATCAGGAGCTAAGACATGCACTTCCAGCCTGATGGTCTCTGTGCTCTGCCAGCTTCCTCATGTAGAATCTCCCATGGTTCTCAGGCAACACATTCTTAGTACAACCACTGGCCCACAAACCTTCTCACCTCTGTCCACCAGAAATCGAAGTTTCTGGACCACTGCCAAGTTCCCGCTCACCCGATAAATGCCATCCACATCCAGACCTGGGAGATGAGGGAGGAGTAGATGAGGACTGCTGCTTAAAAGTGTGTGTGGTGAGGAATATAAGGGTGGAGAGAAAAAGGGCAGTAGGAAGACTAAGTAGAAAGGGGGAGGCAGAAAATTCTACGCCTTAGCCTGTTGGAAGAGAATTCTGGGGTCTCTGAGAAAATGACCTCTTTTATCCACAGCAGCAATGCAGAGCCGCACAAAGCTGGGCACCGTGTCTCCTTCCCGCTGGCAGAGTGATTCCAATTGGCAGCCGAACACCTGGTCTGGGGAGGCAAAGTGAGGCGGGAGCCAGTGCCAGCGTCACTCACCGGAGCTCTTTTCAGCATAGGTCTTTATCCTTAAGTGAGGCTGGTCCTTCTGGCTGCCTGGGCAAGGAAATACACTCCGCCCCCCTTCCCCTGCTTCAAACAATCTGACAAAGGGGTACACGTCTTCCCGGCTTCTCCTCTAAACAATCTGGGGTAGTGGGAAAGCAGCAGTCACAGAAGGCTGTGGTCTAGTTCTGGGAAGCTCTACTCTGAGCCTCGCTGGAGTTTTCTTATCCAGGAACCTGGCCCAGCCCCCTCACCTCGGAGCAGACCCCGCTCCTGCAGGCTTTGTAAGGGCGGTCTCTTTGCGATGAGCCGCTTTAGTTTGTTGCGCACGCGGTTCTGCTCGGTGCCTTCGGGCCCCCGAACTACAGGAGACAGGTGGAGCGGGGCGTGAACGCCCAGGAGCCTCGCTGCGCTCCCGGACCCTCCCTCCCCGGCCCGCGCCTCACTGGAGCTCCGGCGGCTGCTGAGGCGCAGCAGCGGTTTGGACACCGGCTCCGACTCCTCTTCTTCGTCCTCCCCGGCGCTCAGCTCCGCCAGCTCCGCGGGTCCAGAGCCCGACAGACGCAGCTCCAGGGGGTTCTCCCGATCCTAGACCCGGGGCGGGCCGTGTCGAAGGTGAGAGAGGAGAGAAATCTGCACCCCTAGCTGGACTCTGACCCACTGCCAGGGTCCCACGTCCCAGCCCCGCCCCAGGCCGGGCTCTCCACAGAGCCCACCCTGCCCCCACCGCCCCTGATTCCTACAGTTCCTACCCCACTCCCTTGGTCCCGGCCGGCCCGAGCCTCCCTCCCAGCCTGCACTCCTCTAACCAGCCGCTCGATGACAGTCCGCAGCGCGCGGTGCCAGGCTCGCAGCTCTGTCTCGTGGTCGGACTGCAGCAGGAACTCGTGGCCAGGGACCGTGCGGATCTGAGGGCCAGGCGGGGAAACGTTCGGGTCAACGGGGAGGAGTATAAAAAGCAGGGAGACCTAGTGGGAGGCCTGCGCGGGAGATTGGGGGCGCCCTCTGGTCGGGTGGGGCCTTGGAGACGCGCGGAAGGGCGCTCACGTGCAGGACGTTGCGGCGGCTGGACAGGTGGCGGCCGTGCGCCAGGGCCGCCCCGCGCAGGTCCACGCTGCTTTCGGGCCGGCTACCCGCTGGCCCCTGACAATGAGGGAGGAAACTGAGGCCACGATGCTGTTTCCTTCAATGTTTCCCTCTCCCCGGTGGACTGTGAGGAGGTGGGAGGCTTCCTCACTTCTTTACCTTCCTCTGCACCGCCCTCCGCGCTGCCGCGCCCCACATTGGCGTAAGGCGGAGGCAGCGCCCTCACCCCTCCTGCTCCCCTAGCTCACACTCACCCAACCAGAGGAGGGCGCTGTCGGCGGTGGCTCTCGGTAGAACACTAGGCTGTTACCCGTTAACACCACCCAAGACGGGCCCCAGTTCTTCCTGCGGGGGCAGAGAGGGGAGGTAGTGGTAGTGAAAAGGTCATTCTAGAATTACACGGGGAGGGTGCTCTTCCAACACCCTGCTCTACCCTACGGAGTTGACAGCCCAGGCCCTAGCTGTATTCCGGGTTCTCACCTGAGCTTGCGCCCCCCTTGGGCAATCTTGGTCATGTTGAGCAGACCCGACTTTTCCACCTCCTGGGAAATGGAGGGAATGGTATCTGTAAGTCACCCTGCGCCCTCCACAGTGGCCACGGCGTTCCCTAGGGGGTCTCCCAGGAGTGAAGTCCCTTAAAGTTGCTGAGGGAGGGCTGGGTAAGAGGATAATTCAGAAAGAGGAAGATGTTTTTGAGGAGCAGGAATTGGGGGGGTGTGGGGCAGGGAGGATCTTGGCATTCACAAAGAAATGGGAGATTCACATGGGGGTCTTCCAGGAGCTGCGGCAGAGGTCGAGGGGGCTGCAAGGCTGGAGGATCAAGCTTCGAGGTGCGTTGGCTGAGGCTGAGTGAACCCTAGGGGAGAGGATTGGAGAAGCAGGTGGGGAAACCCTTGACTCAGGGATCCCTGGCTGAAGGGGGAAGAGGGGTGGGATGTGGGTGAGAGGCAGGGGGTGTGATGGGGAATGGAGAATGTTTTACACAAAACAGAAAGTCATAACAAGCTGGCTTTTTCTGCATGTGATTGGGAGATGGGAGGGATCTCACCTGTGGGTCAAGCGGTTCTGGGGTCCCTGTGTCAGATCCGAAGCCTTTTGCCTGACGTTGCAGGACATCATTGTTCCTCTTCAGGGTCTGTGTCCCCTCCATGGAGCCAGGGTTCTGGGTTAGGGGAGGAGGAAATAAAGCTACACCCAGATGCCACCTCCACACCCTTCTTATACTTGGCTGATTCTTCTGATCTTCTGAGAGCCCCAGAGAGAAAACACACTACCTTGAGGTTCAGTAGGGGAAGGAAGAGCTTGGGGGACAGTGGAGAAGCAGGAGGTAAGGTCTCACCATCTCGCCGCGACTGCGGCGCGGGGGCTTCCAGGACTTGCAGCCAGTCAGTGAATTGATGTAGAAGCAGCGTCCGGAGTTGGGGTCCAGGTACTGCTCCCAGGCATCCAGCCTCTGCAGCGGGGGGCATGCAGGGCCTGGGGGTGGGGACCGGGGACAGCGGCGAAGGTCCACCAGGTTACAGTACACAGGGGGCTCTGACATGAGGGGCTGGGGGCCTGCCTGCCAGAAAAGGGGGAAGAAGGAGGTGGTCATTCTGCCTGTTGCCCTTCCCATGCTTCTCTTGGCCTTCCCACCTCCTACTCCCTCCCCATCGTCTTCTCACCGCCAGCTCCAGGCTGAGGTGACCCAGGTACTGGGGGAGAAACCCCAGGCCCCAGCTGCTTTTTAAAAATTCTCTCTCTCACAGTTTTCTTTGCTCTTCTCCTCACTTCCTGTTGCCAACTTCCCGCCTCCCCCACCCCACCCCCACCTCAGGGCCACAGGAAAGGGGAACAGGCTTTTTGTGTGTGTGTGCAAGAGGGGGGCATGCTGAAGGGGGTGCTCCACCCTCATATCCTGCAAGGTAAAAGAGGACAGAGAAGGGTCTACAGAAGGCAGGAGGAGCCCCTTTCCACCCACTGTTAAGAAAGAGAGGGAAGGGCTGAGCAAGTCACATCTTTAGAGGAGACCTGCTGTGGCTTAACAGGCAAGCAGAACACAAAAAAATCCTGCCCTGGGCTAGGAGTCTGGAGGAAGGAAGAACACAGGGCTGGCCTTTCAGTGCCTCCACTGCTCCCTGTTCCCTGTCCGCTCCGGGCCTTTGGTACCTGCTGTCCCTTCTCACCTCCTACCCAGTTTGCCTCTCGGCTGCCTCTTTCTCCTCCTGGTTCAGAGTCAACTGAATGCCGTCACCTCACAGATGCCTCCCTGCAACACCCCAGCCACTCTCCACCACATTAACTCGCCTTTGTAGATTTATCGTAGTACCAAGGGTTATCTTATTTATTCGTTTTTGTGTTTGTCATCCCCAGGGGAGTCCCTCGAAGGCAGGGGTGCTGTCTGTCTTGTGCCTAGAACAGGGCCCAGCTCAGAAGAGCTGTGACTCACTGTGCTGGCACTGGCTTCTGACGGCAAGTCTTCCCGGGAGAGGCATCTTCCACTTGGTCCTTCCTGGAAAGGCTTCAGAAGGCAGGGCCTCAGACTGTCAATGCTGACGCTCCTACACATTTTGGGGGGAAGTGGAGGAGGCTGCTCCAAACTAGCCTGAGCCCTGCTTGGGAGGGCCTGAGACAACTCCTCCAGGGAACCATGAAACAACTTCGGCCCTTGAAACAGAAAAGGGGAGGGTGGGTGGCAGATGATCAGAGGTGTTGTTGTAACTGGGTCCCCCATCTTGGGAGCTCACAGGGAAGACAAGGAGGGCAGAGGCAGGATGTAGAAAATGGCATGAGACCTAGAAGCCTTGGGACTAGGAGGACAGGTGGTGGGATGAGGATGCCATGGCGGGGGTGAGAGGTAGGCTGATCAAAGAAAAACAAGAGAAAATGGTTAGTAGAAGCTTGAGGGAGGGGGGGTCCTCCCAATAATTCCCAGAAGCCAGGGAGGTAGGAAGGTGAGGGGAGGTAGGAAGGTGAAGGAGGAGGGCTTAGCACTTACTCACCAGGAGTCCAGAGCAATTGGCTGGGGATGGCGGTAGTTGGACTCTGGGAAGGCATGGATTCCTCTGTCATATAGGCCGCTGGGACAAAGATGGGTCGAGAGGTGGAGGGAGCTTCTAGGCGTCTTGCCAACCACCAGTCAGAGTTGGTCTTTCGAAGCAGTAGAAACCTGTCCCCTTCAGCCAGAGACACTTGCCGGCCATCTGCCCCAGTATAAGTAAAGGCATAGAGGGCACAGAGCTGGGATCCCCGAGAAGGGCTTCGGGGGCCCAGTCCTAGGCTCCCCCAGGAACTTGGCCACCACCGGCTGGACAGCATTGTAGCCAGCACTGTCACCTGTGGGAAAAAGGGACACTGGAGACCCAGAAGGGAACAGGCCTGGCTGTCTCCAGGTAGAGAGACATGGTTCTAGGAGCAGTGTTGCAGGGAGGTGGGGACAGGAGCCCTTGAGTGGGGGGAGAGGGTAGAGCAGACAGCCTGGTGAGGATCGGTGACAGGTTTTGGGGGCTGAGAACTCTTGGTGGTGTCTGGTGAGGAAGTATGTAAGTAACGTGAGAGAGGATGTGGTCAGCAGGGCTGCATGGCCGGCAAGGCAGGAAATTAGAGATGACCCAGGTCAGTAGTCTTCCTCCAAGTACCTTGTGGGGCCCATCAGAAGATTCAGGGGCAGGAGTTGGTCCTGGGTGGTGGTGGGAGTCTGGAGCTGGACACAGGAAGGAGATAAGAAGAAAGAATCAGGTTTGAGACAGGAACAGGGAGACACAAGGTTAATGACAAAGACAAAAATGTGTGTTATTCTTTATTAAATTTACACAAGCATCAATGTTTCCGTTACCAATCACCTCAGACCATAGCTGCGTGCTTCCTGTGCAGACTCAGAGAGACATGGTGACAGAAAAACAGAAAGCCAAATAAATAGCAAGACCAAATTAGAAAGAATGACAAAGTGGGAGAAACACAGAGGGATTCAGAGTTAAAATATCACCACCCTCCCAATCCAGGACACAATTTTAGGAGCTGAGAAGCCTTGATACTGTCCTGTATACACAAGCCTCTTGAGGCGGGAGCTACTTTAGTGGTGTGGGTTCAGTCGTGCTTTTTTTTTTTGAGACAAAGTCTCGTTCTTGTCCCCCAGGTTGGAGTGTGATAGCGTGATCTCGGCTCACTGCAACCTCTGCCCCCCAGGTTCAGGTGATTCTCCTGTCTCAGCTCCCTGAGTAGCTGGGATTACAGGCGCCTGTCACTATGCCTGGCTAGTTTTTGTACTTTTAGTAGAGACGGGGTTTCACCATGTTGGCCAGGCTGGTCTAGAACTCCTGACCTCAGGTGATCCACCAGCCTCGGCCTCCCAAAGTGCTGGGATTACAGGCGTGAGCCACCGCGCCCGGCCTCATTTATGCTTTTAACAAGGATTGATTGAGCGCCTCCTGCGTGCAAGGAGCAGTGTCAGGCACTGGATATGAGAGACGGGAATGAGCCCTTTTGGAGCTTAAGGAGAGACAGACCTTAACTAATGACACAATAAACTTAATAATTACAATTGAATCAGAGACAATGGACAAGTAATACAAGATGCTATGACAGGTAGATAGGGGGCTGATGTCAGCTTCTTCCTGGTGGAAGGTGGGAACTGACCTTCCCTGGATTCCCAGCACTTTAAAACCCACACTTCTGCTTCTGCCTTACCTGACCACTCCTCTTTTCCCCTTCTCTCAGCTTCTCCATTGCACAATGTGAGGCTTTCTGTCTGGGTTTGGAGAGGTGGATTAAGGAGCGAACGCCCCTCTCCACTGGTGATATCAGAGAGCCAGCTCTCTTTCCCTGAGGGCTGGGTGGCTAGTACTGGGCTTCTGCCTCAGTGATCTTCCTTCTTAGTTTACCTTACTTCAACACATGGAGAACCCTACCCCTCAACTCTTCCTTCCCACTTCCAAAATAGTGACTAATTTCACCCATTTAGTCACTTATTCATTCATTTGGTGTTCGGTGCTCGAATCCACCCTTTTTTGCCTTCTCTGAAACTCTCTCCCCTACACTTTAGCTTGTTTTTGTTGGCTTCGTTGCATTCACTTTTAAACATATCCAAGTCTCTCCCGTCTTTAGACAAACCTCCCCTTACTGGGCTTTCCAGGTGCCACCATATATATGTCTCTCTCTTTCTTCTTCTTCTTTTTTTTTTTTTTTTGAGACGGAGTCTCGCACTGTCGCCTGGGCTGGAGAGCAGTGGCACAATCTCAGCTCACTGCAACTTCTGCTTCCCAGGTTTAAGGGATTTTCCTCAGCCTCCCAAGTAGTTGGGATTACAGCCGCCAACACGCCCAGCTAATTTTTTTGTATTTTTACTAGAGACGGGGTTTCACTGTGTTGGCCAGGCTGGGCTCGAACTCCTGACCTCGTGATCCGCCCACCTCAGCCTCCCAAAGTGCTGGGATAACAGGCGTGAGCCACTGCGCCCCCTCCTCTGTCTTTCTTTTTACAGTCAAACTTCTTGAGTTGCCTACACTGTATGGGGACCTCCATTTCCTGTCCCCTCACTCCACCACCTTTTCAAAGTCATTCCTCACTAGAGTCACCCTGACCTTGCATGAACACGCTGCAGTCCTTTTTTTGCTTGACATCTCAGCAGCAGGCAACACAATTGACCTTTCTCTTCTACAAATGCTCTGTTGGTATCCCTCTTACCTTTCTAGCAGTTCCTTGTCTGTGGCATGAGGAATGACCTTCCTCTGCCTGTTCCTTAAACCACAGAAGCCTGTCTGAGATCCTGTGCCCCGTGCTTTCTGCGCGTCCTCCCTGGGTGGTCTTATTCTCTCCCCAGCTCAAATGATTTCCATATGCTGCTAAGGACCATATCTCCAGTCCAGATCTTTCTCTGGGGCTTCCATCTAATCCACTGTCCACCAAAAAATCCACTTGAGTATTTCTCAGGTACCACGAACTCAGTATGAACCAAACTGAACTTGTCAGCTTTCCCCACAAACCTGTTTCTCTCCCAATACCACTACTTAGTTTAATATGAAATCAATAAATATTGACCTGGTACAGTAGCTCACACCTATAATCCCAGCATTTTGGGAGGTCAAGGCAGAATATAACTTGAGCCTAGGAGCTTGAGGTGCAACATAATAAGATCCTGTCTCTACAAAAAATTTTTAAAAATTAGCCGGGCGTGGCAGTGTGTGCCTTGTAGTCCCAGCTGCTTGGGAGGCTGAGGTGGGAGTATCTCTTGAACCTGGGAAGTTGAGGCTGCAGTGATGCGTGATAGTGCCACTGCACTCCAGCCTAGGCAACAGAGTGAGACTCTGTCTCAAAATAAATACGTTAAATAATTTAATAAATATTTATTGAATGTTCACTACCATAAATGCCAGGCAGGAACTATGTGCTAGGCATTGTCAATTAAGATGGTAAATATGGGACCAGGTGCAGTGGCTCACACCCAGCTCAATCTCAGCACTTTGGGAGGCTGAGGAGGGCAGATCACCTGAGGTCAGGAGTTCAAGACCAACCTGGCCAACGTGGTGAAACCCCACCTCTAAGAAAAACACAAAAATCAGCCGGGTGTGGTGGCAGGTGCCTGTACTCCCTGCTACTCGGGAGGCTGGGGTAGGATAATTGCTTGAACCCAGGAGACGGAGGTTTCAGTGAGCTGAGATCGTGCCACTGCACTCCAGCCTGGGTGACAGAGCGAGACTCTGTCTTAAAACAAAACAAAAAAATATGATCCCTGCCCACTCATAACAATGAAACTACGATGTAATAATGATCACTATGATAGAGGAAATACTATCATCTGCTGTAGCACATAGAAAGTATGCCCTATTTCCCATGCCAGAAACCTAGCAGCCGACCTGAATTTATCTTGTTTCCTCACCACCCGCATTGATTCAATTGATGACTGAACACTTCAATTTATATTTTCCCAATCTACCTACCTTTTATCCCCACAACTACCACTCCTTTACCCTGGACGATATAACTTCCTAACTAGTCTCATTGCATATAGTTCTGCTCCCCTCCCATCCATTCCTGACACAGCAGCCAGAGTGACCTTTCTAAAACACATATGCCCTGCTACTCTTCTGACTTAAACTTTCCACATTTTATAATGTCATTTACAGATTCCCTCTCTATCCTTTTCACAGTCTCCACCACAAACTCCACACTGCAGTCTTATGCGAATTCCTCACATTCTTAAAGTGCACTGAAATCTTTGATCCTTTGCATATGTTGTTTCCTCTGCCTGAAACACATCTCTTCTCCACTCCCTCCAGTCTTCACCTAGATAACTCTTACTCATCACTGAGATCTCAGCTGAAAGGTCACTTGCACAGGAAAGCATTTCAGCCAGGTGCGGTGGCTCACGCCTATAAACCTAACACTTTGGGAGGCCAAGGACGGTGGATCACTTGAGGTCAGGAGTTTGAGACCAGCCTGGGCAACATGGTAAAATCCTGTCCCTACTAAAAATACAAAACTTAGCTGAGTGTACTGGCCCAGCTACTGTAGTCCCAGCTACTTGGGAGCCTGAGGCACAAGAATGCCTTGAACCTGGGAGGCAGAGATTGCAGTGAGCTGAGATCATGCTACTGCACTCCAGCCTGGTGACAGAGCGAGAGTCTGTCTCAAAAAAAATTAAAAAAAAAAAGGTTGGGTGCAGTGGCTCACACCTGTAATCCTAGCACTTTGGGAGGCCAAGGCAGGTGAATCACAAGGTCAGGAGTTCGAGACCAGCCTGGCCAACATGGTGAAACCCCGTCTCTACTAAAAATACAAAAAAATTAGCTGGGCATGGTGGTGGGCACCTGTAATCCCAGCTACTTAGGAGACTGAGGCAGGAGAATTGCTTGAACCTGGGAGGCGGAGATTGCAGTGAGCCAAGACTGCGCCACTGCACTCCAGCCCGGGTGACAGTGCGAGACTCTGCCTCAAAAAAAAAAAAAAAAAAGCATCTTTTCACCCTTTAGAGGGGCCCTAACTCACACTTTAAGGATTATTTTATTTTCTGACTTTCAGGAAGTCTGTGAGTGCTTCCAAGGTAGCAGAAGCCCACATCCATTTTGTTGATAACTGTGCCTTCAATGCCTTCTATGGTCACTTCTACAGCGATTTCTGGCGTAAAGTCACATCTTTGTGCCTCAGTTCCCTCATTAGTAAAATGGAGATGAGAGACCTACCTCAGTTGGTTTATTTATTTTAGACAGAGTCTCGTTCTGTCGCCAGCCTGGAGTACAGTGGTGTGATCTCGGCTCACTGCAACCTCCGCCTCCCAAGTTCAAACAATTCTCCTGTCTCAGCCTCCCGAGTAGCTGGGATTACAGGCATGGGCCACCATGCCCAGCTAATTTTTGTATTTTTAGTAGAGATGGGGTTTCACCATGTTGTCCAGGATGGTTTCGAACTCCTGTCCTCAGGTGAGCAGCCCGCCTTGGCCTCCCAAAGTGCTAGGATTACAGGTGTGAGCCACTGCGTCTGGCCTATTTATTTATTTATTTTTTGAGACAGAGTCTGGCTGTGTCGTCCAGGCTGGAGTGTAATGGCATGATCTCAGGTCACTGCAACCTCCGCCTCCCGGGTTCAAGTGATTCTGCTGCCTCAGCATCCTAAGTAGCTGGGATTACAGGCGTGTACTACCACACCCCACCAATTTTTTGTATTTTTAGTAGAGACAGGGTTTCACCATGTTGGCCAGACTGGTTTTGAAATCCTGACCTCAGGTGATTTGTCCGCCTCGGCCTCCCAAAATGCTAGGATTACAGGTGTGAGCCACCGCACCCAGCCTCTTGGCTAGTTTTAAA